AGCTCCCCTCTCACCTTCCTCCTCGGGCGGGGACGCGGCGAGACGAGGGGACAGTGCCTGACACGCCGGGTCCTCGGTGACACCGCTGCCACCGCCGTGCTGGCCCTTATATCCCCCCTGCCCCTCTGATGTCACCGTGCCACGCAGCACCTGTGGCCAGGTGCCCACTCGGACGGGGAGGGGGGACAGGGGCCATCCTGGGGGGTGACAGGGACAGCTGGCCTTGGTTAATGTTTGACCCCGCGCTGAGGGGGCTCCCGGAGGGGACAGGACATGGACAGGGGTGTGCGGGCCCACGGAGGGACAGAGGGACAGGAACAGGGACAGGAGTGGGGACAGGGACAGGAACAGGGACAGTCAGGGAGGCTGGTGGCAGGAGTGGACAGAGGGGTGCAGAGTGGGACAGGGGGACAGTGGAGGGACAGAAGGGGGGCCGTGAGGGAGGCAGTGCTGGGGTGAGGGACGGGGGGTCACAGCCATCCCCCCCCCACACTGCGGCAGTGGGGACGGGGCTGTCCCCAAGCTCCCACCGCGGCCACGTGGGGGACAGAGGGACACGGGACCCCCACATCTGGCAACAGTCCTCACACGGGGGGACCCCCGATGGTGTCAGCACCCCCGGACAGAGCACCCCACGAGTGTCCAAGCCCTGAGCTCCAGCCCCATCAGAGCCCCCCTGCACCCCCGGCACCCCGACATTCACCAGTGGTGGATCCCCCCACCAGTGTCCCCCGTTACCCCACACCCAGTGCGCCCCAGTATCCAACCCCAGCGCGCCCCAGCTCACCCTACTCCCACCCTTCCCTACGCACCCCCTCCTCCAAAATTCCCACTCCTCGCCCCCTTCCACTCTACTCCTCTCCTTTCACCCCCCAATCCCTCCCGAACGCCCTGGCCCCCCTCCCTGCACCCCGGCACCTCCTGTCCCTTGTTCCTCCCCTCATCCATCCCCCCTCCATCTCCCCGCACCCCTCCATCCCTCCTGCACGCCTTTGTCCCCCCCGCGCCCCCCGCGCCCCCCGCACACAGCTCGGGCCGGGCCGTGCCCACGATCGCTCTTTATTGTCGCTGCGGGGCCGTGCAGGGACCACGCGGGACCCCCCCGACAGCGCTGGGGAGGGGACGGGGTCGGGGCCCCCCCCGACTGCGGGACACCCCTGGGCCGGGTTCTGGGGTCCCCGGCCCTCCAGCGGGGGGTCCCGAGCTGGCCCTGGGTCCCCTGGGGGGACCTGGAGAGATGGGGAGGATTTGGGGGACAGGGGGGGCTGGGCGGGGCGGTCACCACGAGGAGTCGTCATCGTACCTGCGGGAAGAGCCGGCGTGAGAAAAGGGGGAACGAGACCCCCGAACCCCCCGGGACCCCAAACTGCCCCGGGACCCCCGCCCCGGGGTGTGGGTGACAGTGCAGCCGCTGTCCCAGCCCGCGGGGCCATGGAGACACGGAGGGGGACAGCGACAGGGACACTCACCGTGACCTGTCCCCGCCGGTCCCCAGGAGCAGCTCGGCCACCGAGGCGCCGGGGCTGGCGCGTTTCCCGTACCTGCGGGACACGGGAGCGCGCCTGAGCAACGGGGACCCCGCGGGTGCGCGCACGGAGCCCGGGATGTGCACGGGGACAGGGACGTGGCGAGGGGGACGCGGGCCCGCCGCTGTGGCGCTCACCTCTGCCGCGTGACCAGGTTGATGTAGTGGCGGAGGGCCGAGAAGTAGCGGGCCATCTCCTCGGGGGACGCGTCGTCCCCGGGGCTCTCGGGTTTGGGGGGGTACGCGGCCGCCAGGCACAGCAGGGCACACAGGGACACGGCCACCAGCGCGCGCCACGGCCGCGGGGACGTCACCATCTGCGGGGGACGGGGGCGAGGGGAGGGTGGGGCACCCCCATCGCCCCCCGGTGCCCCCATCACTCTCGGGACCCCCAGCCCAGCTCTGCCCCCCGCGCCAAACCCCCCCCCCCCAGGATCCCGGTCTCTGTGGGATTGTCACACCCTCAGAGCACCCCCAGCTCACACTGGGGGTTTGTGTCACCCCCTACCCGCGACCCCAGCCCTACTCAAGGGACATCTTCACCCCCGGGACCCCCCATATCCCACAGGGACATCTCCCTCCCAGAGACCCCCCCTCAGTGTCCCCAGGGGAACTGTCCCACCCCAAAGGACCCCAGGGACCCACGTGCACCCCAAGGGACACCTCCCCTCCAGGGACCCCACAGGTCCCCAAGGTGATTGTCCCTCCCGGGGTCCCGACCTCCCCTCAGGGACCCCCCGGGACCGCAGCCCCGTCCCTGCACTCACGATGGCGGAGGCAGAGGTGACAGGAAGGGCCTGGCAGTGGGGTGACAATGCCGGGACACGGCGGCTCCTGCACCCGCCCGGGGTTTTATAGCCCGAGGGGGGCTGGTGGTGGCTCCTCCCTCACGCGTGACCGACCCACGGGCACGCAGGACCCTGCGGCCCCCCCGCCACGGCCAGGGGACACGTGCCAGCACCTTGTCACTGTCCCCCGGCACAGCCCCCTCCAGCCTGGGGCACGGAGGGGCTGGGGAGGACAGAGCGAGGGGGCACGGGTGGGACACACGGACACGGGGACACGCGTGTGGCCACCGGACACGGACGTGGCAATGCCAGAGGGGCACGGGACATGGGCACAGACGTGGCATGGCACGCAGACAGGTGACACAGGTGACACAGGCAGCCAGGGCACATGAAATGGAACATGACAGATGTGACAGCCATGGCACAGGGATGTGACACAACCGTGGTGCACGGCGACAGGGAACGGACACGGATGTCACAGACAGCCACGGCACGAGGACACAGGACACGGATGTCACACGCAGCACTGACAGCCGCGGGATGTGACAGTGGGACACAGGGACATCGGCCACACCCAGGGACACAAACGTGGCACATGGGACAAGACCCACGGCCCCGGCACAAGCCACCCACGGGGGACAGTGGAGGGGACACACACACCCACAGCCACGGCTGCCTCAGTTTCCCCAGACCGAGCACGCAGCCGCCACCACAGCCCTGTCACCGCAGCCCCGCCACCGCCATCGAGCGCTGTCACCACCCCCAGGATGGATGAGGTGGCCTTTGCAGCCCCCGTAAGGGACATTAATCCCTTATGGATTTACCATTAAGGAGCAATCACCGGCTCCGGGGGAAACTGAGGCACGGAGGGACGCGGCGGGGACGTGCCCGCCGGGCAGGGGCCACCAAAGCCACCGAGGGGGCGCTGGCATGAGGAGAGGTGGCACAAGGGGGGTCCCCAAAAACGCCGGGATGGCCCCAAAGAGCTGCAGCCGGGGCGGTGGAGGGGACACGGCCCGTGGGGACACCGAGGTGCCACCAGCGCGGCTGGAGGCGACACGACTGGGCCGGAGGGGACACGGGGGGGGTGCCAGCCATGGCCGGAGGGGACGCGCTCCCCACTGGTGGCCCGGTTGTCACCCCGGCCAGCGGCGGCGGGGACGCGGCTGGTGGCAGTGGAGGGGCGCTGTCCCCCGTGGCGTGGCCGAGCTGTGACACCGGTGACACTCGGGGGGGGTCCCGGCCGAGCGGCGCCGGGCTCACGGCAGCGCCGGGAGGGGGAGCAGCCCCCGCCGCCCCCCCCGGGCCCGAACCTTTCACGTCCCCGCGGTCGATGCGGAGCTGACGGCACCGAGGGGGCGGGCGGGGACCCCCCCGCGGGACCGGGCACGTGTCCGGGGAAACTGAGGCAGCGGGGCTGGGGCCCGTTCCCCCCATCCCCGGTACGGGGGGGGGTCCTGCCCCATCCCGGGGACCCCACCACAGCGACAATGTCACGGCGCTGTCACAGATGTCCCCGAGCCGAGGCCGGGGTGGGGGGGGTCAGGGTGCGGGTGGCCCCTGGCACCCCCCAGCACCCGCGGGGGGGCCCGGAGCTTTCTGCCCCATTTATCCCAGTGACAGCAAACAGAAATTTTCCAAAGGTCACAGGATGGCTCTGCCGGCGGGGGGGGAAGGGGCGGCTGCAGCCCCGCGCACAGGGGGGACCCCGATGGGGACAGGGCTGGGGGGTGTCCCCTGCGTGCCCCCACCTCTACCAGGGCAATGAGGAGGAAGAGGAGGGTCCGGGGGGGGAAGGAGCGGGGCTGGAGCCGCCGGGGGGGTCCCGAGGGGGGTGAGGAGCCGCGGGGGCCCCCCCGGGCAAACAGGGCTCTGCCGCCTGCCCGCGTTTTATGGCCCCGGTTCCGCCGGAGGCGCATTAGGGCCCCCCGGAGGAAGCCCCTTATCAGCCCTGTTTGCTTTTCCGGACAGGGCGGGGGGACACGGACAGCCCGGGGGGGGCACAGACACCTGCCCAGCACCAGGGGACACACAGACACCTG